TATTTAATATTTTTATATTTTTTTTTAATTTGCAAAATTTGTATTTTAATTAGTTACTTAATTTTTTTTTTTTGTTGTTTTATTTGAATGTTGTTAGTTTTCGTTAGTTTGCAAAATGCTTTGACCTGCTGGAGTTAATGTGGATGGAGTTCAGTGTTCATTTGCTTCAACCATGACAATTGAACATTAACGTTCAAAGTATTTTATTTGTTTTGTATCTTTTTACTTAGATCTTCGGTTAATTCGCATTTCTTGTGTGTTTTATTTTAAATTATGTCATTTGTGTAACATTTAAACATTTTTTTAAATAGTTTTAAGTTTAAAAATGAATTATAAAATTAATTTCATTTATTTCCTGTGTTTTTATTTATTACCAGAGAAGGAAAATTAGTGCTAAACAAAGTTAATTACAACATTTTTCTTTAGGAGCAAACATTGAATGACATTTTAGTTTTGCAGATTTTTTGCCCAGACAATCAGATTAAACATAATGTGGCACTTAATAAACTAAAGTGACTTCAATTTGTCAGATGATATGACTACAAACAAAACTTTTATTTTGGTTGTTGTGTGATTAAGCATTTGTATTCTAACGAAACTATTTCAGAAAAAAAGTTTTATATTAAATTGATATTTATATTAAGTGAATTAGTTAAGAAACTATATAATTTCTTATAATAAATAAGAAAAAATCCTTACATAGTTATTAAACTTTTACCCTCAACAAAAATTGGCATTAGTAGCAATGATTAATAGCAGTGATTAGGAGTTGCTAACCACAGAATAACTTAGATTAGAATCCACACAAAATATTTGTACTAATATATTCCATAAATGACTGTAAAAATAAAGGACTTCTGTTTTAATAATAATAAAACTTTTATTGCTGGTATATTAAATTCAATTTTTTGTATGGATTTAATAAAAATAATTTAATGAAATACATTTTTATTCAGTGTCGTAACTACAGGGAAGCGACTGGAAGCAACGCTTTCGGGCCCCTGAATTAAGGGGGCCCCTTTATGAATTTATGTATTCATTGTATTTATTTTTAATAAATTCTCAATAGTGGGACGAAACGTTTTTTTGTTGGAATATTGCACCTGCTCCATATTGCATTTTGTAAAAGATACTTAATTTTTAAATTTAATGTACATAATATGTATGTACTTCAAATAAAATGTTAAACTTATTTAAAAAATAAAAAAGTTTTTCTAAGAAAAATATGTGTCTTAATCGAAAGTTTATGTGGAAGCTAACATATATCTAGATTTAAACCCATTTGAAACTAATTTTGTACGTTGTCTTATGCAAATATCAGTACAGTATATACCAAATTCCATTCGAATATCTATAAGAAATAGGCGTCATATTTCAATCAAATGGTGAACAGCATCCGCTCCCGAAAAGTATGTGTGTAAAGTTTCATTCGGAGAGTTCAAAAGCTGAGAGAGTAGTTTTAACTGAGAAAGTATATATATACTGTAATGATATATACTTAATGGTATTTCCTACGTTTCCTTTAATGCGTTATGAAAATCTAGAGAAACCTTATTTACCCTTTTTACATTAGTTAGTACATAGGTTAGTAGGGGCCCCTTAGTTAGAATTTGCTTATAGGCCTAAAAAATAAAGTTATGCCACTGCTTTTATTGTTCTCATATTAATTTAATTTTTTAAAAAGATTTAATAAAATTTATTAAATAATGCCTATGTAGCTATAGATGGATTATGAGCAAAGAAAATTTAGTAAAAGATTTGCTTATGATTTTCTAAAGTTATTCATTTTCAATATAACTTATATAGATTTAAAATCGGTTTTGTTTTTTATTATTTTGACTTTTATTTCGTACGTTGTATTTTGTATATCTCTACACGTGTTTCGGCGAATTCGCCTTTGCCTTTATCAGGAAAATTCCTAATATACAGCAATTTTATATCTGTTGCGAACATGACTGTCTGCATAACATGGCTCTATTCAAACTTGGATTTAAACTATTTGCAAGGGAACTATAAAATTTAAAATACTATTAATCACATTTTATGAAATTAAATATAAATAAACAGATGAATTTTATATATACAAATATTTTGTACAAATCTAACATAATTTCAACTTTAAATAATTAGTAACAAATAAAAACGAATTTAGATTGTATTTAGTTCTAAATATGACAATTACTTGGATAAAAACAACAGAGTATACTGATTTTGAGAATGAGAATATTTTGATAAATAGCCGTTATTTTACTTATTTAACGTAAATAATTAAAATTGGACTAATGCTAAACAGATTCCCTGGCAGAAAGATTATTATTATCAAATTATTATCATATTGTAATGTAGTAAGATTAATTGGTTCAAGAACATAAAGTTTATTATTTCTCCATCTTTCTATTTATGATATGAACAATCACTTAATTTATTTTGCTTTTATATAATATAAATTAAATTAAATACAAAACTCTAAATATAATAAATATATAATAATTTGAGAATAATTTAACAATACTATATTTAAATTTAATACAGAAATTAAACAATAAATTTTAGCCTAAAAGCATGCAATATTTTTATCATTTGGATTGCTTTGGATAAAATGTATCTAGCAATTTATCCGAGATTGTTTCTGATTTGGGACTAATCGTATAATTTTTAATTTTTGTACTCTGAGACATTTTTCTTATTATTTAGTTTGATTAGAGGAGAGCCAATTTAAAACGAACGTGGAATGTTGATTGTGGACAGATGAAGAAGTTACCATAATTAATTCGATTGGTATTGGCATAATCGAAGACATAATTTATTACTTAAGGAAGCGATGCATTACCAAGGATGGTGTAGTGTCTTATATATGCTGTCGTATAATTTTTCAATGAAATTAAGAGCTACACTTATGCTAGAGCTGATGATATTATAGTGGTTCCAGTAGTACTTTCATTTCTGCACATTGCATTTTTATCTTCTCCAACTGTCTATTTATTTCCGACAAATTGTTTGCAAAATTACTAGCATTTGTAGCATTGCACTTTGATGTTTGATGATCAGCGTTTTCACATAGTTCAGATTCACTCTGTAAGCCTAATACCCAGTGCCAGACTAAAAGTAAGGTCTAGGTGTTCATCTGTTTGTTTCTTGATTATTTTCATTATATATTTTTCTTGATATAGATATTTAACCCTGTCAGAATACTGTCTGAATTTAGAATTCATTAATCTCTTAAGAATGCTTGATCCTATAGGGTAGAGATAGTGTGGAACTACATTTTATCGCTTACTATTAACGAACTTAGATGCTCAATAACTCCAAATGTGACTATAAAATTAGAGTTATAGAAACATTATAATGAATAACTTATTCAAGTTTTTAGTAATCATATTTTGAAGTTCAATATTTCATATTTAAATGACAGTACGAAATAATTGAATAAAAAATTATATTTTTTTTCTAGTAATATATCTGAAACAGTCATATTGGTTTAATGATTGCTTATAAGCCTAGATATAAATTCTAATTACAAAAGTTGTTAAATTCAATAAATTTTGTTTGACGTCTCTCAATTATTATAAAATTTTTTTTTTTTTCTTTTCGTGTACTTGGAAAGTATGATGTATCGAAAGATTGGTTCGGCTTCTTTGGAGGATTTTCCAGAGAAAATTAAAGTAAAGCAGGGTAGTGTGAAAAAAGAACTTCAAAACCAAAAAACCAAAAAAAATATACTGCAGAAAGAAAAGTTAAATAAAAAGGAATCTGTGCGAACTACAAAAAATGTGTCAATATTCGATTGTGATTCAAGAGTGATAAACGATTCAAATAATCGTCAAGAAAATAAGTCATACGATGGTCAAAATGTTATAAAGTCGATAAAAGTCAGTTCTAATCAAAGGTCTAAAACTCAAGCAAATGAATGCATCCTACAAATATCTGACACTGCAACTATAAAGGAAATTGTATCGGAAGCTACTAATAATAGAGCAGATGAAAAAGAATCTAATAAAAATATATCAAAAAAGAAACCAAAATCAGAACCTAAAACTAAGAGTACTGCTGTGCAATCAAAGAAATCTTTTCAATTGCCACCAGGTGTAAAGTCACGTTCAAAAGTCTTTAGAAATTGCAAAACTGAAAGAACGTTTCACGGTCCAAAATGTGGAAAGGGTTCAAATTCCGTTAAGCTTAATATTAATGCAAAAAATGATAAACAAACGCTTAACTTATTGACAAATAAAAAAACAGAAAATTTTAAGTACCCAAACAAGTCATCCGAAATGATAAATTCAACTAGTCCAGAAATAACTGGAGGTAAACAATTGTCATACAATAAAAATACCAAAGATCAAGATGTGCAACAGCAAAAGAAATTATCGTCCACGAGTATATCGGGGACTGGGACAATACCAAAAGACAGCAACATTAATCAATCGTCTTCCCAATGCTTTGCTACACCAACTTACTTCACATCTAATGGAGAAATATTTAAGCCAGTTGTAACAGAAACAGATGCTAACATATTATACAACAATTATGACATATATCTTAATGAAATTGCGAAACAAATATCAACAAATTTGAATATCTTGAGAGGAAATGCTTTCTCAGAGCATTCCGAAGATTTGGGAGATGGAACGGCACCACCTGTGCTAGACTCCGCAGTGAACTCGCAAATTGATAATGATGGTATAATAGGTATGGCACATCCATTTGAGATTCCAAAACATCTTACAGATGCTGATATAAAGAAAGCGATTGCAGACATATTTAACTCAACATTAAAAATTTCATCCAAAAAATGCTGTGAAAATTTAAAAGATGATGAAAGCCGGTGTCAACCAGCAAAAAGGCAATTTATTCCAAAGCAAAATAATACTTCTATTCCGAGTCGAGACTACACAATTTCAAAGTCTGTTGAAGAACCCCTTTTTATAAATATGAATGCAGATAAAGGTAAGTATAAACTAAGTACTCAGTATAGTCCCAATGTTCAAAAACGAAATTCTTTTACTACAAATTTGTTAGAAAAAAACAAACAACTTAAATGCGATTATGAACAAAAAAATGATAAGCAGTGTGAACCAATCACAGAGAATTTAATAAATGTTGAAGAACAAGAAACAGTTGTTAATAACTTAAATATATATAATAGTTCAAAATTAAAATCTACCACAAAATGCAAGAAAAGTAAAATGCCACGTAAATCATCCATGGACATGTTTATGGCTACTCCAATATCGCAAAAAATGTTCAGTAATTGCCCAAGCAAGAAATCCACAAAATCAAAAGTTTGCACTACTGAAAGTAAAAAGGAAATACCAGTTAATGTATTAACAGAATCTAGCAGAAACCTACAACAAACTGAACCCATTTCAACATCCCATTCTGTTCCAGATTCGAATGTTGATATTACAAAGAAATACACACTTCCGAAACAAAGCACGAAGTCCAATAAAGGTAAATATCAGCACAAATTTATCTCAGAAAGTTCCGAAACTACTCCAGAATTTATGGATAATACTTTAGAAAAAAATATGGCTGTACTAAAAAATTTCGCTTTACATATTAACAATATAAAAATGCAATCTAAAGACACTAACGAAACTGGTTCAACCGCGTCCAAACCATTAGATGATATTACAAAAAACCGACAACGTCAAGAGGAAAACAATCCAATAAAATACGTTGAATTTCTAGAAAACAGTTTGGAATATAATATTGATTTGAAGAACAATAGAATTGTTCGGGTCGAAATACCAAAAAGAAACGAACCTCTACAAACTAAGTCTTATAAAAGAGGTGAATACCTACATACAACACCTAGAGATGATTCTCCAGTAAGCTCAACTGATGCCTGTGTATTCTTAGAAAATAACTCCAGTCAAGGAGGTGAATATCTTCATAATACACCAGAAGATGAAACTTTAGTACCGTCGAATCTGTGGAATAACTCTGTTGATAGAGGTGAATATCTTCATGTAACACCAAACCATGAACGTACAGCACGGTTAACTGATAAATCGAAAACTCTACGAAACATTTTGCTCAAAATAAATGAATATCTGCGTACGATTAATGATGATTCTGTAACCCTTTCAACTAATACATGTGGATCTGATAGTCTTCATAAAAAGCAAAATATTAATAAAAAGAAATGCAATAAGAGTCGTTCCCATTTAATGAATATGCAAGAACATGGTAGCTCAGGTAATATTTCACAATACGGTGCTGAAAAAAATATAAGTTATGATTTCCCTAAAAAAGATTTGAATATCGATAATACTATAAACAACCAACAAACGGATCCCAATGAGAAAAAGTTTCGAATGCAACGACCGAAAAAAGAGCATGATTGTGATCCATCCAACATACAAATCAATTCTGGAATCAATAGCTCATCGCCAGAAACAGCACCATTATTCAATACTATTCATGATGACAGCGAACCTAGTATCTTATACAACAGTTGCGACCTGCCGAGTGGTCAGAATTTAAACAGACCTAATTCAGGAGAAGATGATAATTTCATGTATAATCCATATTCGAATAGTTACAATTATAATTGTAATGAATTTTATAAAGAATATACAGATCAATTTGGTAACGCACCGAAAAATACTAAGAGTAGTCAATTTGGAAATTCAAATTTTATGTCATCTCGTCTTACTGAAAATATAGAACATAACATGAGAAGATCACAAGGATGTGATGGTTTTTCCACAAATAATTTCGGTTTTCCAAATATAAGACAATCCCATCGAATGAAGAGTTCATATCCAAGGTGTTCACAGCAAATGTCCAGTAATATGAATGCATCACAGTATCTCTATATGAATAATTCATTTCCGAGATCTTCACATATAGTGACTGGCAATTTAACAAAAACTTTCAATAGAATTACTACATATCCGAGAAATCCACAAATGATACCTCACTTTGCAAATACACTTTTTCCTAGGAATTGTACACATTCAGTTTATCCACAAATGTCAACTCGAACTTCAACGATTAATACGACTAATAATGTGTATCCGCAATGCATTCAAATGATGTCTCCCAACGTTATGGGTACCACTCAAGTGTTACTTCATCAACGGAATGTTAGACATGTGCAGCAATTATCAACAGTTCTTTGTAGCCACACAAATCCAAGCAGTGAATTGCATAGTACTATTTCGCATTTAATACCTGGACGACGTCCAACACTTGGTCGCGGTGTTAGACAAATGCCAAGAATGAACGATCCTGAAGCAAGGTCTCCATTGAATTCACTATTCTTACTCTCAAGTGCTGGAGAATTGAGGTCACCTAAATTTAAAAGCAGCCATCATGCTAGACCTTGAGATGGCGGCTGCTGATTTTAAGTAATAAGTAGTCCTTGATTTTAATATTATTTAAAGTTTATATAAACATATATATGGGTGTTTGTTTTTAAAGTTTTTGTATTAAAGTAGGTAGTTCCTAGGTCCAAAAAGCACATAAAATCGTATGAAAAAGCAAGGTAAACGTTGTCAGTACAAACAAAAATATAGGTTGATTCAAATAAAGCTTTAATCAGAAATCATGTATAAACATGAAAACTATTCATTGAATAAAAATATAAATTTTGAAACGATTAAGAAAGCTAAGCCAATAATATCAAGAGGCCAACACAACCTATTTATTCGGTACATACATGTTATAATCTTGAAATAATTACAATAAAAATGATAATAATAATATTAATCAATATAACGATATTTAAACATAAAACTAAGTAATATTATATTCCGTAGATTGAAAACAGTTATCCGACATAAGCGGTTTCTAAACATTTTCGACGTATTTAGCATTTTTTAACGAAGATTTTTTCGTCAATTTTTTCGTTTTTCGTCTTATAGCGGCATATGTGCCTAAATAAATACTATTTACAATGCATTAGTAGTATATCTGTTGCGGGATATGTGCCTTAATAAACACTAATTACAATGAAATTTTTAAATTACGTGTTAATACTCGTATTGTTAATATACATAATAAATATTATGATATAAAAGTATGTAATATGTTTAATTATGATATATATAATATACTATAATAATAATAAATGATATAAGTGAAATACAATGTATACGTCTCCCACTTTCGTTTGATTTTTTCGCTTTTTGGACTGAGAAATATCAGTTGCTATATATATGAAGGGTTTTTAAGAAACACTCTGTCTATGTAAATATGTTTTTTATACATTTAAAATAGTATTTTGTTAAATATAGTAATACAATTTCATATAATACAATATATTTTTTTATAGATGATTGGAAATGTTTTTGTCGCTATCACTTTAAATGTGTTCCATAAAAGAGAATATATCCTAAAATTAAAATTTTTTTTTATTTTATAAATAAAAAATATATTAATAAAATTGAAACAAAATTTTTTAGTTTTTAATTTAACAATAATAAAAATTTTATTTTAATAATAAATTGTTTATATAGCTTGTACACATCATAAAATTAAGATTTTTTTTATTTTATAATTAAAAAATATATTAATAAATTTAAATTTGAAACAAAATTTTTTAGTTTTTAATTTAACAACAAAAAGTTTATTTTAATAAATAAAGTATATTTAATAAATTATTAATATAGTTTTTTTTTTTAATATTGAGAAAAGTGATGTCAACATCAATGTATGTACAATTTATCTTCAGGTTTTTCATATATGGAACAGTAACCCTCCAATTATTCTTTATTGAACAACCGGACAAATCATGCACCACATCTCAGAGATCAAACCTCAAAAGCACTCATATATTATCATACAGGTATTATTATATATTATCATATATTATAAGTACTTTGAGGTTTGATCTCTGAGATGTGGTGCATGATTTATCCGGTTGTTCAATAAGGAATGATTGGAGGGTTACTGTTTGATCTCTGAGATGTGGTGCATAATTTATCCGGTTGTTCAATAAAGAATGATTGGAGGGTTACTGCTCCATATATGAAAAACTTATTTTTGTTATTAATTTTTGTGTTGCTATGAGCTCTTATATTATTTCTAGTTATAATATTTATAATTTATATCTTTTAACTAAATTTGTTCAACAAGTCTTAGTTTTATCCTAAACTATAAAATATTGCCAACAACAACAACAACAACAACAACTGATTTTATATAAAAACGTTTTAGTGATTTATGTATGCTTTTCATGAAGACAATGCAGCATATGGAACCATTAATTCATATGACACATCTCGGAACTGTTTGAATTTATAATTAATAGACCTATGTCGGTATGTAGAAGTTGTAGTTATGAAGTTGAAAAGTTAAAACTTCCTAAAGAGGCGAAAGGCCTATTTTTTTATACATTTTTGGAAAGATTTTCATGCTAAAACTTATTAAAGCGATAAGTAAATATTAAACAACTTGTAGCAAACACGTTTTCTATTCAAAATATTGTCACAACTGTCAATTTATATTTAAAACATCATCAATTTTCTCTCAAAAAAAATATTAAAAAAATATTTTAAACAAATAATTAAACAAATATAAATAAACCAAAAACAAAACTAACAAATAAATTCAACTAAACCAACAAAGCTAACCGAAGCCAACCGAGTCAATTGAGTCAACCGAGCAGCCAGCAAAGCCAATATAATATCAAAAAGGCAACAAAGTAATTTATTTGGTTTTCATGTCATAATCTTTCGTGCGATTAGCGCAACAATTACAACAATAACAACAAAAACAACAATTACAATTATAACAACAATACAAACAACAAAAACAATGACAACAACCAAAGCATAGCAGCGACTTAAATATTGTACCAACAATAATATAGCAAAGCAATAATACTAATCAATCTCTATACGTAAATTACACTCAATTAAAGCAAAAGCAATAGCAAAAGTAAAATGAAAACAAAAAACTATACTGCAAAAAAAATAAAAACAAAAACAAAAAACCAACGTTAGGCGGGAGTAAAATGAATTTCAATAAACTAAAGCTGCGCTCAATTGTACTCAAAGCTACTCACTTAATATGAAAAGCTTAACGCCGCGGCGCACTTATGCCATAAAACGAACGACACTCATGCATGGGGTTGAGATCAAAGCAGACATTTATTTTATTTAATTTGTTGTTTTAATTTTAATATCAGTTGCGGTTTCAGCGGTGCCAGTTGAGCGTTTCGTGAAAGTAAAAACGAGCGCATTGGATTAACGTGTTTTTTTTTGTTTTTACTATAAGTGAATAAATTACATCTTATCAAAGTGAATAAGAATTTGAAATTATAATATATACATATATAATATATATAATATATATTGGAAAATACCGCAAAAACCCAAAATTCAAAGTGTTTTTCCTTATACAAACATAATATATATCTTGAATTCAATTTCTAATACAACAAACACAATTTTTTTTTTGTGCTAAACAACTGCAGAATTAGCGCTTAGAGGTATAAATTGTATTTGCAGTTGCACTTCTGTTCTTCAATTCCTAGAAATGTCAAGGTAAACGCGTGCATTGCATTGCTTAGAGAAACCGCGCCAAGCTGTCACAGGTCAAAACGATAACAATTCAAATTAGAAAAAAAATAATTTAATCAATTTTACAATAAAATATAAAATTAATTAAACAGCACAAGTAATATAATATAATAATAATACAAAAAGAAAAAAAAAATACCAACAGTGATAATGCGTATAACAAAAAATAAAACAATGTCTGTCTCATACAAAATAATTGCAGTAGTTTTACTGCTATTTGCAGGTTTTCAGCCGGTATGTATACAAATAAAAAAAAATACAGAAAAAAAAAAATACAAAAAAAAAATACAAAAAATCAAAAAATGTAATCATAACAACAAACATAAATAAATCTGTTTTATTTATGATTAAATAATTAATTCATTTTTATTTTAATATTTTATTAAAGACATCTGCTTGTTAAAATCTTTATCAGTGTGAAAAATAATTTATAAACGCTACTTTAAAGCTTAAATTGTGCTATTAAATTTGTGCATTATAATTGGCATTCATCGAATTCACTCATTCTAAATTGTATATATAAGAAAGCGAGAACTTTAATATCTTCAATAATTTTAATATATCTTCTTTTAACAATTATTAATTCAGAAATCACATACTTAATTTACTAGTTGTGAATTTAATACTATTTTCAGACAGCCAAAATTCCTTAATTTCGTAAAAATGAAATTAAGTTAATTTCGAAAGTGTTCATACAGCCCTAAATTAAGGAAATCATATTTTTTTTTGTTTACTTATCAAATATTAAAAATTACATCTCCCAAACACCATTTATATCTGGGATGTTTTAAAAGTTGAATATTATAGCTATAAAGGATGGCATTGAATAGTTTTATTAGCTTTAGTGAATTTCAGGTTTGTGAAATATTATTTCTCATTCTATTTTTACTTAAGACTTAACAGTTACAATTTTTGCTCCATATTCGAATTTAAAAATTTGCACTATTTTCAAAATATTTTCCCAGTTTATATCAGCTGTCACTGACATTTATTTAAAAAAAAATGTCACTTTATCTTTTGCTTAAAATTTATCTTACGCATAGTTGTATTTGAAATGCTCCTTAATTTCAGCTTTCGTTTCAACGAAATTAAGATAATTTTCCACAATTTCGTTCTTACTTTAAAATTGAATTTTGTATAGAAAACACAAATTAATTTTGAATTTGTTGAAATCAAGATAAGACTAAGATTTTTGGTGTGTCTGAACATAGTATAAAACATATTTGTTTCGAGTAAGTAATATTTTATTTTATTCTTTAGACAATTCAACAACTATTCTGCACTGCTGGATGCACTTCTTTCTACTAAAAGCTTCTCATAAACTTATTACATATAGGCTTTAAAAAATAGATATTAGGTGAACCTAATATACGCGCTTATTGATAACATGACACATCGTGATATGAGCCTTAAATGACTTTTGGTATTTAGTTTTATTTAATAACTTCAGAGTTGGTAACTTAGCAGCGTTCTGTTTTATTCTTAAGATAATTCAACATCTATTCATCACTACTGAATGTACTGCTTTCTACTAAAAATTTCTCATTAACTTCTTATATATAGACTTTTAAAAATAGACATTAGGTGAACCTAATATACGCGCTTATTGATAACATGACACATCGTGATATGAGTCTTAAATAATTTTTTGGCATTTAGTTTTATTTAGTAGTTTTAGAGTTAGTTTAGAACGATGTTTAGTAATAAAATAGTGTATTCCGTCTTAATTGACTTTTAAATATTAATTCATTGATTTAATTTTGAATTACATTTATTAATGCAATTTAATATAAAATATTTTTATATTATTATTTTTAAAATATTATTTAAAAAATATTTTTATAAGTATGAACTTATATTTAAAAATATTGCTAACTACAATAATACATATAATTAAATAGATTTGAAAAAAAAATAAGTTAATTAGTTATTTTAATACGTGCAATCATTTAATTAGGTGTAT